ATCGTCACATCCTGGGCATAAACTGTTTCAACTACTACCCTCAAAACGACACTATAGAGCACTGTACACCAGAACAACTAGACACAAGGACAGTTTTTTTTCCCCCAACTTTGCTAAACAACTAATTCCCTCAACACTGTCCAACTATTTACAAAGTTTGCACTACTATTACTATTAATCTTCTCGTCACTCATCACCCATCCCCTCCCACTTGTGACTGTAGGACTACAACTTTTGTCGCTTGTATTCTTACAATTTATATTGACTGTTTCCTGGTATGATTCAATTGCTTAATGTACCCTATGACTATCATGAAGTGTTGTACCTGATGATTCTTGACTCTTGATGAATGTATCTTTTATGTACACTGAGAGAATTTGCACCAAAGACAAATTCCTTGTGCGTCCAATCACACTTGGCCAATAGAGAATTCTATCTATCTATTTATAATCATAGATATGCTAATATAATCAAAGGAATCACAAATAAGCTAATACAAAGAGAAAGGCTAGTCAAAATTATTGTTACACTATTATTATTGTTATTATCGGTATATATGTTAATATTTCTGTATGTTCTTTCTTTGCTTTTCCATAAATTATTAAATGAGGTACCTTATGATTCTTGACTCTTGATGAATTATTTTTTATGTATACTGAGAGCATTTGCATCAAGACAAATTCCTTGTGTGTCCAATCACACTTGGCCAATAAAGAATTCTATTCTATTCTATTCTATTCTATTCTATTCTATTCTATTCTATTCTATTCTATTCTACCCTATTCTTAATAGATTCTATTCTATTCTATTCTGTTCCTATTCTAATCTAATCTAATTCTATTCTTCTTGTACCCTAGGACTATCATTAAGCGTTATACCTGATGATTCTTGACTCTTGACGAATGTATCTTTTCTTTTATGTACACTGAGAGTGTTTGCACCAAGACAAATTCTTTGTGTGTCCAATCACACTTGGCCAAGAAAGAATTCTATTCTATTCTATTCTATTCTATTCTATTCTATTCTATTCTATTCTATTCTATTCTATTCTATTCTAATCCTAATTCTATTCTTTCCATTATTCTATTCTATTCTATCTTTAACCACTGAGCCGCCACACCACCTACAATATCCACCAATACCAATACCAATCTGATAGCACATAAGAAATCAATTGATTGATCTAAAGACCCTGGTCCCTTTGAGAAGTCCACAATGCAGGGAAAGATGGAAAGAGAGATGATCAGCACCAACATGGATGGATACACAGTGGTGTTTGGGGCACTGTTGGAAGAGCTGAAGAACTGGGATAGAAAGAGACCACTTTGGAGAAAACGTTACTGGTCACTTAAGCATTGACAGACTTGATGGCTCCACCAATCCATTGGTTGCGATCCTGAATCTGTTTTATTTTTCTAGAAGACACTCAAACTGCAGGTTGTAACTCTCCTGCAGATTTAAACCCCGCTGTCCGCAAATTCTCATAACATATATTAAACTCCATTTATTTACAATTTCTTGCCCAGCCCGAACACAGGAAATGATTCATTTTACTTGGGAAGGGAAGGGAAAATTGCAGATTATTTCATTGTTCTAAGAAGCTGTGAGACTGTAAAGTTTGAGAACATCTGCCCTAAAATACAATGTTTCCCAAACTCCAACTGCAAATAAATTCAAGAACATAAATATGGCAAATCCGTAACGGCGAAGACCCCCAAATAAAGACGCAGACAAAATCCATCCTTGAGAAAGTTTATTGAAAACATATCACAGCATTTTCTGCCTTTTTTTTTTTTTTTGCAGGGCAATGTAAACATAATTCACAAGACTTGAACTTTTAAAATTCTCTATGCCACCAGCTCAGCCCCTTTGCTATAACGCTTGTTAAGCCATCATCTAATGTTTGCTACTATTCCTTACTTACAGAGGCCCAGCGTGTAGCACTGCTCAAAATACTACACCGCGGTTTTACAAGATTCATCAATCCATTGAGCAAATAGAAATTAGCAGAAGCTTGTCAGTCAAATCCAGGACAAGTCTATCTATCTTGATGGGATTTGCCGATCTTTTTGCTGGACAGAGAGGTAGTAGTAGAAGCAACGCAGCTAAGGCAGGGTGCAGAAGGAAATGGAATTAATTGACCATCAGATTGAAAAGCAAACTACAATCCAAGGCAGGGAACCATGGGATTTACCAGGAAATGCCAATTCCATCCTTCACCACTAGTCCTGCCACTGGGGATTTAGGTCCATTAGCAAGAGTAGATTCAATTCCAGATCCCTTTTTGTAGATTGGAAAGCAAAACAGAAAACTCCCTTCTTGCTTTTAGCAAAGAAATGTGATCTCTACCATCTTGGATCCAGAAAAAAGATCTCGCATAGAACCCGAAGGCCAAATCAGAAATGTTTTTTTATAGATAGAAATCAAGACACTACAGAGAAAGTTTGAAGTTCTTGAATTCTGGCAGACAATGATTTTATCTATCTGCAGGGATTCTGTATTGATAGAAATCAGTCCTTTTGAACTACCACGGACAGTTCGGATGTAAATTAAACACCTCATTGTCTGCTTTTCAAGAGTTTGGCCATGGGGATGTGGTTAGGGGCATTCTCTAGCAATCATACACACGAGCAGATCAAATAATTCTGGTTTCAGAAGTATATGTTAACAATTAATTGCATAGACAGACAAACCAGATGAAGTCCTACAATTTTGCAGAATGCAGTGTAAAGATGGCAAACTCTACTCTGGGCAAGCTTAAACATTCCTGAACTCTGGACTTCAGAATATATTTTTCAAGTAAAGAGAAGTGAAAATGTAATCTTGACATTTCCAAATAAACTTTTTTTTCTCTCTAAAATTGCCCATTTTATTGATTGTTCTTGGAAGAAGCGAAGAGCTTATACATATGTACGATGACATCATCAAGAGCTTACACATATGTATAATGACATGTATCTTTTTTGTTATACTTTTGCTTTACTATATACGTATATAGTAAATATATATGAATGCACTTGTTGAAATAACCAGTCAGAAGTATGGCCAAACCACTTCTGTTGCTTTTAAGGACTATTGTTTCTTGACTCAAAAGCTTCCTGTTCACTAGCTGTTTATTAAAACTTATTCAATACAGTTGAGGGCATAATGACCTTAATGGATCCATGTTATTGTCTGCAGGACAGCAAAATTTACATATGTACTTCCTGCTGTTATGTGGCAGAGTAGACATTCACACAAAATAAAAGGAAACCTTTAATTAACCATACACCTCTCACCTGCCTCTAGATAAGCAGCCAAATTCTTCTTAAGTTAGCAATGCTTTTGAGCAGTAAGTTGAAAATAGCAAAAATGTTTGGCCCTCAAGTAAATGCAAAACACAAAGTGCAACATGGTTTTTTTTTCCATTTCTCCTCCCTGGATATACAATATCCATTTTTCATGTCTACCAATTTTTCTCTGCAGAAGTATTCTTATTTATTACAAGTACATTCCTACCGACCTCCAAAATTCCAGGACCGTATCTAAGTTATTTGGAAATACAAGTTTTCTCTTATCAAAATTCCAACTTGAACATAAAAATGAACCATCAAGAAAATCGGTATAAAATGACATTCAAGCAAATAGGTCTTAAAGCTGCAGCAAGGAACATCCAGGAAACAAAATAAAATAAAGGCTACCACTACTTTAAAAAAAAACTAGTAAGATGTCTTGAGCTGAATTTGGTTTTGTTTATACAATGATAAGTATCTGTTCGAGATGAGCAAAGAATGCTATTGGTTTTAAATATTTTTTTTAATTGCTAAAAAACGCTTCTGCATCTGTGGATGTAGGAGGAGATAAAGCAATTTCCAGCTAATTTCCTTAAAAGGTTACAATTCTGTAGGACAGCCAAAATGCAATGTTTTTTTTTACAGATTTAGCTGCAAAACTCACAGTGTCTTTAATGAGTAAGGAGTTGCTCAAAATGACTCAAGTTTGGTTAGGTCAAGAACCAGCAAAAGGTCAATCGAGACACACCCGCAGATTCCTAGGAAATTTTTAATCGATCACCAAGAATTTCTAGTCTTGGCCAAGCTTGGTTGCTGCTCAATGCTTTCTTTCGAAGCCTCAGTATTTCTCCTCTGTAAAATGGGCGTGCCAACGCTTGCTTAGAAACTGGCTTTTGCTCTGCTCTGTTTTAGAAAGAGGTGCATGAATCCTCAAAGGCGTTATAGTATTGTCTACATCAAGTGTTTCGCAGCTAGATGCGTGGATGTCAACTCCCAGAATTCTACAATCAGCCAAGCTGGCTGGGGAATTCTGCGAGTTGAAGTCTGCACCCCTTAAAGTGGTCAAGGTTGAAAAACACTGGTCTAGAATGCTAGAAACCCAAATGATGACCTTGATCATGGTCAAGAAAAAGAATCTGTGGTCCAGATAAAGGATCAGGCTAATGTAATTTCCTGCTTCCTCTTTAGCGGTGCTGCCATTTTATTTCGGATTTGACTACTTAATTTTCAAAGATCGTTTGAGTTGCACTGACATTTGCTATGCCGGATTGCTCGTTGACCCTACATAAAAACAAAACAGCAGCTGCTGCTATGGATTAGCAGGACTAATCGTCAATTCCATTAATCAGCATCTCTGAAGCAACTCAATTTTAAATCTCCATTTTAGCAGCAAGCTCATATTGGCTCAGGGATGAAGTCAGCTAAACCTCCTTTACAGGACGGATGGATGTAAGCGTAAAAAAAAGTACAGGGGTGAAACCCTCTGAAGCTAGAACAGAGCATTAGAGAATAGAATAGACTAACAGAGTTGGAAGGGACCTTGGAGGTCTTCTAGTCCAACCCCCTGCCTAGGCAGGAAATCTTACACCACAAGGAGAGATTCAACCTTGAAATAAGGAGAAACTTTCTGACAGTGAGAACAATCAACCAATGGAACCGAAGTTGCCGTCAGAAGTTGTGGAAGCTTCATCCACTCTGAACTGTTCAGCAAATAAACATGCAGAACAAAATAAAATCTCATTTATAGACAAAAAAAAAATATTCTGGAGAATGAGGCCAGCAAGCCAGGCAAGAGACCTACAAGAATGAATTTCCTAGCAAAACACGGAGAATCTATACGACCTCTTCCAAATTTATGTTTTTGTCTTTAAAAAAAAAAATCTGACTTCGAAAAATTGCACAAAAGAAAAAAAAATATTGAAAGAGGAATCAGAACTGCATTCCATCACCACATACAGAAGATTTGGAGTCTGCCAAATGAGACCTGAATAAGTTTTTTTAAAAAAAACACATGTTAAAGAGAAGATCAGTTCCCAGTATCCCCTCCATTTTCAGAATCCTACGGATAAAAGCAGAGAAGAAATATATATATATATATAAAAGTCTCTTTTTTTCTCTCCTGGTTCTCCATACAGCTTCAGAACAAAATATTTTTTTCTTTTTTTAAATTATTAAAAAGGGTCTCTGTATCGAAATATACAAGGAAAGAGAGGGCCTTTTGCTGTTTTTCATTCTTCCATCATGGCCCAAACCTCTTCGGCTTTCTGGTAGTATTGGTTGGCTAGCCGGCCTTTCATCGCTTGCATAGCATCTTCGGCGGCTTCCGTGTAAAGATCTCCTGGAAGAGCAAAGGACAGGTAAAGACTCAATCCAATCCTGGGGTCACATACCTAAGACCTGTTCTGACCTAGGCTTTACAAAATCACGGAGCAGACTCCTCGTCCCGTCAAAACCCCTTTTTGTTAGCTAAAATGTGAATTCCTCTCATTCATATCCAGCAAAATCCCGGCAGACAGTCTTTCAAGGGTGAATTACAAGCACAGACCTTATCAGGCTTGGAGAGTTGCCAGGCCGATAGCTCCCAAACGCAATGCTGCACTAGAAAAATATTTGGCAAGGAGTCACGAATAAATCTTCACCCTAATTAAATGAACTAATTGTCTCCTGCAAACACCATTCCCCTTTTGTTCCTTTTATTCCCTCTGGGAGAGGCCATTCAACCATCCACTTGTGCCTTTATTCCCAAGTTGAACCTGGTTCCTTAGCTGTTCCCTTCTCCTGGCAGCTCTGTGCATGCGCACATTGGGAACAGGCTCCAGCTATTCTTCTGCCTCACTGATCTCCGACTCTGAAGGCAGCTGATAACTGTTGGGCGGCCCTGGCCCCATCTCTGCCTCTGACACAGAGCCTTCCCCAGACTCCATGACTGGCCCATGTCCCTCCCCAACCTCCTCACTGTCCGAGTCTACCGCCAGCTCCTCTGGCTGCCGGCGGGCCACAACAAGACCCCTGGCCATGGGGTCTCATGGGACCCTGGGCCAAATGGCCACGTGCAAAGAATTTCAGAGGCTGGAATTCCCACAGGGAAGCCAAGGACAAGCCTGCTTCATACCTGACCTCTGCAGATCCTGGTCCAAGTTAAATCCTCCCGTCATCAGCATCTCTGCCTCTTTGGCAAGGAGGAGATAACGAGGTTCATCCTGAGTGCCGTCATACTCGCCCCCTTCATCATAATCGGTCATGTTCAAAGCTTTGTCGTACCAATGCAGAGCTTCTCTCCAATCCCGCTTTCTGTGGAAAACAAAAGAGCCCAATATGAACGTCTCCAGAAGCGCAACAGATGGAGTGAACGTGGCTTTAAGAGCAGGGCCAGCTTTTAAGCCTTGTGGACTTCAACTACTACTAGCCATACTTCCTAGGGAATTCTGGGAGTTGAAGTCCGCAAGTCAGTTATACAGTGTGTGTCGGTTGGTACATCTTTCTTGTGCACAATATCAATTGTCTTTCTCTCTTAAATTTTAAATTTATTGATTTCCAGTAAAAGATATCTTTTCTCTATATAATGGAGTCTAAGCGTTTCTTTCTTGGATTTTGAATGGAGGTTAAATGTTTTGGGTTACAAGTCAGGCCGTCTGCCCCGTACAGCTTATGCACCAGAGTCAAATTCCTTGTGGGTCCAATCACTCTTGACCAATAAAGAGAACAGAACAGCGAGGTTGGAAGGGAGCTTCAAGGTCTTCTAGTCCACCCCCTCTGCTCAGACAGAAAGCCCTATGCTGTTAGTCTTCGACTTATGCCTGCAATTGAGTCCTGAAATTTAGGTGGCTAAGTGAAAGGTTTGTCAAATGAGATTTGCCCCATTTTAACACCTTCTTTGCCACAGCTTTAAGCCACTGTTAAGTTAATAAACCTGGTTATTAAGTGAATCTGGCTTCCCCCACGGACTTTGCTTTGTTAGAGAGTCACAAAAGTTGATCGTGTGACATCACAACTGATCGTATGACAACACAAACGGTTGCCAAGCATCTGAGTTTTGATCACGTGACCATGGAGATGTTGCTACGGTCATCAATGTGAAAAACGGCCGTAATTTTTTTCCCCGGTGCCCTTGTAACTTTGCACAGTCCACTAAATGAACTGTTGCAAGTCGAGGACTACCTGTATAGAGGTGATCCATTCTTTAACCCTGCAAGAGTACCTGTCTGGCGCCAGGTTCACGCCCGTATCGTAAGCTCTTGCAACAAGAATCATGGAAGGACGGTCGCCAGCTTCGGCTGCTCGGCGCAAATATTCAAAGCCCTTGATTCTGTTTTGCTTTGTGTCCTGCGGAAGACATGGAAATGGGGGGGAAGAAAAAAGAATGGCCGATAAAGGAGAATAATTTGTAGTTCAGGGTTGAAATGAGGGGTCCTTGGTGCTCTCTGAGCTTGGTGGTTTTCTTCTAGACCTTTCGTAGCCCAACTAGGGAACATCATCAGTGCTAGAAAGGAGTGGGGTTTGTGGGTGGAGAAGGAGAAGAGGAAGAAAAAGGGGGAGGAAGAGGAGAAGGAAGTGGAGGAAGAGGAGGAGAGGAGAGGAAAAAGAGAAGGGGAGGAAGAGGACTATGAGGTCCTTGGTGCTTTTCTTCTAGACCTTTCGTAGCCCAACTAGGGAACATCATCAGTGCTAGAAGGAAGTGGGGTTTGTGGAGAGGACGAGGAGGGCAATACGTAGAAAGGGAAAAGGAGAAGACAGCAGGAGGAGGAGGAATAATTTGTGGTCTTTGGTGCTCTCTGAGCTTGGGTGTTTTCTTGCAGACATTTCATGACCCAACTAGGTGACATCATCAGGGCTAAAATGGAGTGGGGCTTGTGGAGAGAAGGAGGAGGAGGAAGAGAAGGAGGAGGAAGAGAAGGAGGAGGAGGATTGAGGGATCCTTGGTGCACTGAACTTGGTGGTTCTCTTGCTTACGTTTCATTACCCAAACTAGGTAACATCATCAATGCTGATGAAGAAAAAAAATAACCTGTGGATCCTTGCAACCCAACTGTCTCACCTAGCCACATAAATGTTGGGTTCACTTGTGGTCACCTAAGTCAAGGACTGCCTGTCGTTACCTGCAGAAGGACCTCTGCGAGGATGTGATGAGGTAGCTGAGAATACATGAGGCCCAGCCCTACGATGGCCTCCAGCTCTCCACACTCGGCTGCGTGTTCCAGGTGGAAGAGAGCTGAATCTTGGTCCCACACCTGATCCTTCTCGCAAAATCGGCCAGCTTCGTGGTAACGAACCATGGCCAGGTGAACCTAATTGAGAGGAGGAGGAAAAGGCCGTAATGGTACGTAGGAAAGACCATGGGAGACAGATTAACAAGAGTTGGAAGGCCCCTTGTAGGTCATCTAGTCCAACCCCCGCGCCCAAACAGGAGACCCTACACCAGTCTCTTCTTGAAAGCCTCCAGGGATGAAGCTCCCACAACCTCCGAAGGCAACTTCTGTTCAAATTTCTCCTTATTTCCAGGTTGAATCTCTCCTTGATCAGTTTCCACCCATTATTTCTTGTCTGGTCTTCAGGTGCTTTGGAAAATAGCTTGACCCCTTCCTCCTCTCTGTGGCAGCCCCTCAAATATTGGAAGGCTGCTCTCCTGTCTCCCCTGGTCCTTCTTTTCACTAGACTAAGTCATGCCCAGTTCCTGCAACCGTTCTTCATAGGTTTTAATCCCCTCATCATCCTGGTTGCTCTTCTCTGCACTCTTTCTGAAGTCTCAACATCTTTACTACTACTACTATTATTATTAATATTATTATTATTATTTAAACTTTAGTGAGATTCACAGCCTTTTGGGGCTGGTTGATAACTCAACAGCTCGAGTCCTAACCAAGGACCTAGGAATTGTTAAGGTAGCATCGGAGGATATAAGCTGTTCCAAACTGTTGTTGTTAGTGTTATTATTATTATTGCACTTTCTTCTCTTTACACATCTCAATTATCTTTAACAGTACTGAGACACCTTTGTTACAAATACACATTTCCACACATTTCTAATTATTCATCTACATCAACATCTTTTTTATAGTGTGGTGACCAAAACTGAATGCAGTACTCTAGATGCTGCTTAGGGGAGGATTAGATAAGAGATCGCTTAGCCCTCACCTTTCCAAGGATGGACTTTCCAATCTTCTTCTCCAGCTCCAAGCCGTTGAGTCTCTGAACTTCTACCGCAACACAAGAAGGTCGGTGAATGTGAACTCGAGCGGCGTTGTAGAGATTCCATTTCTCCACACTGACCTGGAAGAAGGAAAGTCCATCAGGTCTTGGAGATTCTCAATCGTCCAAGTTACGGTTGTCCCAAAGGTGCTTTTCCAACAAGGCAAACTTGGACTTTCTTGTTTGTTTGTTTTCTCCCCTTGAAAATGTTTCGCTTCTCATTCAGAACTGAAGAATCTTCCCAGATGAGAAAGAAGGAAGATGTTTTCAAGGGAAAAAAGCCAAGAAAGTTCAGTTGCCTTTTGGTTCCATCTGAAGAGTTAGAGAAAGAAAGCGAAGAAAGAACCAAAAGATCTTCACATCTTCACCCTCTACGTTCCTCTCACTGAGCTTCTTCGCAATCTACCGCTGAAGTCCAGCAGCAGAAGACTTGTCTGGCCAAAAATGGCTCCGTGGTGGAACCCCAAAACTTCTTTTGTAAGTTAAAAAAAACTTTCACACTGAAATCTTAACAGAGCTTTTCTCAGCCATGGACCACATACACACATCACGTAAGCTGTAGCTTGTTAAGTTAAGCCAGACTGTCTGAATTCACCATGAACTGACTTTTTGTGAACCTTACTAAGTAGACCAGATCAGAAAAATCAATTCTAGCAAAAAAACCACAACTATACTTTACTGAGATTGGCTAGAACTCTGCATTTCTCAACCTCCCAACTTTTAAGGTGCGTGGACTTCAACTCCCAGAATCCCCCAGCCAGCCAGGAAGCCAGTATCCTTAGAGATCTTCACACGTGTGCATGCACACATTGATACGCCTGCAGCGAGCGCAAGGAGACACAAACACACTGAGAGCACGCTTCACACCGGACACGTCAAAAGGGAGAGAGTTAAAAAACTCTTCCCAGTACATAAAATTTTTCAGTAGACAAAATGTGCATTGCAACATCACAAGTTCTGCTCCTTAGGAACGTCACAATAATGTCCCATGGGAGGAGGGAGATTGTTTTGTGACAACGCAATACATATTTTATCCTTCCCTGCAAGCATCCCTGAACAAGTCTGTATTTGAAGGAAAGAAATGTGCTTTTGACAGCTTAAGTATTTAAACGCATTCTCACATTTAGGTACATGGTAGCAGTGGTGAGATTCAATTTTTTTTTTTTTACTATCAGTGCTGTGGGCGTGGCTTGGTGGGCGTA